CTATTTTGTTCCAGCAATCTATTCATCTTTATTAGCATAATAAATATTATTAGCATAAAGATGAATAGATTGCTGGAACAAAATAGAGATCCTGGAAGTAATTCACACAAATATATTTAATCAATTTTTGACAAAAGTGCAAAATTAACGCAGTGGAAAAAGAAAAGTCTTTTTAACAAATTGTACCTCTTTATGCAAAGAAAAATATTTAAAAGAACTTCAGAGGCAGAGCTCCAAAATGCAGAGTAAGAGTCTCCATAAATCATTCCTCCATAAAAACAACAAAAGGATTGACTTTTTTTTTTTTTTAATGAAAAGCTTGCAACTATCGGAACATTTATTTAAGAAAAGAAAATCTTCTGAACCAAGGTAGAATGGTAAGGCTTCTGGCTTTGTAAACTACACCACTCCCAATCCCCCCTATTGGGCCATGAAAACCAGAATCTTTGCAAACAGCAGCTATGAAAAGAGTAGACTTTCAAGAACAGATCAGGTTTGTAGGTCCTCAGAAAGTCCTAACGAACACTGTCACTCTTCGACTTGACTGGCAGTTCCTGGAAGTCACATTCATAGAGTAGTGCTGTTACTGACCTGACTCGGAACTCCACAGGAAATGCCCTACACCCAGGGTGTCTGTTGAACAAACTCAGGGCCAATTGTTCAATATGATGGCAGCTTAAGGCCAGTTAGGACAAAGAAGATCCATAGTCCACAGGGGCTTTGGAAAGCTCTGACACATTCCTAGGGAACCAAGAAGAGTGCTCACGTAGGTAGGGCTGTTCACATGCCCAGGAAAGGTACCAGTCTCTTACATCCAGATAACTCAGAGATCAGACATAAGCAGGAATTGAAGGCTAAGACAGAGTGATAAGGCATACCCAAATCTTAGAACCCCTTGGCAAAGGGTTATAAAACTTACCAGGTCAAGGAATTTAAAGAAAGGCCAATCATTAGCTGACCCTTAAATTAAAGAAGTAATAACTACAGTGGTCACTTACTGCAGGAAGTACGGATTCTGCAAGGTTAACCCACAAGGATGAACTGAAAGATATTTACACCTAGGTATATCATAGTCCAATTGTAGAAACACAAAAATAGAAAGTCTTGAAGGTGACAAGAGAGAAATGCCTCATTACATACAAGGGATTTTCAATAAGATTAACAATGGGCTCTTAGAACCACAGAAGCCAGGAGGCTGCTGGATGACATATTAAAACATTTCATCCAGTTAAAAATAATACGACTATCAATCAAAAATTCTATATCTGGAGAAACCATCCTTCAAAAATGATGGTGAAATGAAAACATTTACAGATAAATTAAAACTAAGAAAATCCATCATAAGCATACCTACCCTGAAAAAATAAAGTGCATAAGACTTCAAGCTGAAAATAAAAGAACCCAGATGATAAATAGAATCCACATAAAAAAAGAAAAAATACCAGTAACTACAAAGGTAAATATAAAACTACATAGATAGATAGAATTTTTAAAAATACATAGGTAGTTTGGGCATGTAATTTCTCTTTTTTCCCATATAATTTTTAACTGCATGAAACAATAATTACAAATCAATAAAAGGGAATCATAGGCTTAAATGTAAAACTTAAAACTATTAAACATCTAGAAGAAAATTTTATGCCCTAGGATTAGGCAAAGATCTTTTTATATGCAATACCAAAAGCACAATTTATAAAAGGCAAATTAGACTTCATCAAAATTAAGGAAAGGCAAATTAGACTTCATCAAAATTGAGAATTCTATTCTTTGAAAGATACCATAAGCAAATGAAAAGACAGACAGGAAGAAAATATTTACAAATCACATAGATGATAAAGGCCCTGTATTCTGAATATTTAAAGATTTCTCAAAACCCAATATGAGAAAACAAGTAATTAGAAAAAAATGGGGCAAGGGATGTAGCTCAGTTAGTAGAGCCTCACATGCACAAGGCCCTGGTTCAATCCCCAGTACCACCAAAAAAAAAAAAAAAAATGGATAGGTGATTTGGAAATTTCACTAAAAAAGATAAATGTATGACAAATACTCACACGAAATGAAACTCAATGTCATTAGCAAACTTCAAGTTAAAACCAGGATCAGATATCACCTATCAGATTAGAATGAAGAAAGATTGATGATAGCAAGTGGTGGTGAAGATGTGGGGGAACTGGGACTTCCGTGCATTGCTGATGAGGATGTAAAATGGTACAAGTTTAGGAGACTCTGAAATTTTCTTAAAAGGTTAAATGTGAATCTCCTAAATGATCTAGCCATTCTACTCCTATTTACCCCCAAATTATGAGAGCATATGTCTCATTCAAAAACCTGTACATCAATGTTTATAAATCCTTTATTTTTAATTCTCAAAAACCAGAAATAGGGCCAGGGTTTTAGCTCAGTGATAAAGCATTTGCTTAGGACACCAAAGTCTTCATTTTAATCACCAGCACAGCGAGAGAAAAAAAAAAAAAACTAGAAATAGCCAAAATATCCATCAACATGTCAGCAGATAAACAAATTATATTTACATAATAGAATATTACTATGTAGGAAAGTAATCAACTATTAATATGTTCAACAACAGCAAAGAAATCAGATTCCCTCCCTCTCAAAGGAGCATACACCATATAATACCGTTTATTCAAAATTATAGAGAACACGCACTAATCGCTAGCCACAGGAAGCAGATCAGCAGCTGCTTAGGGATGGGGAAGGATTGATGGAAAGGAGGGATTCTGCAGGATGGAAACTAGAAAGTGATGGCAGTATTTATTATCTCGATTGTGATCATGGCTTCAGAACTGTCTATGCGTGTCAACATTCAAATCATGCACTCCAGCTATGTAAGGTTTGTTGAATATTGATTATACTCCAGTCAATATTTTAAATATTTTTAAAACATTTTTTAAAAACTATTTAAACATTTTAATCTTTTTAAAATATGCCTGGAATAAAAGTGGCTAGGAACTTAGCATGGCCCCAGCACAGAGTGAGGACTCCTAGCTAGGAGCAGCTGTAGCAGCAACCACTGTGTCTCCTCAGTTAGACCCACGTTTCCATTGTGTGAGATTTGTCCCATTCCACCAGCACTGTTCCAACCAAAGCCACCCGTGACTTTCAAGTTGCTGAACCAAATACACGACTCTCAGACACAGTCCCACTTGACAAACCTTCAACTGACACGTAGATCCTCTGGTTCTCTCATCCTGGAGTATTTTCTTGACTCGACTTTCAGGATACTTATCTGTTTCTCCTTCCATATTTCAGGGCCTTCCTCTTCCTCCTCCCCCTCCTCCCACTCCTCTTCCTCCTCTTCTTCCTCTTTTCTTTCTTCTCTTTCGCCTCTCCGTCTCCTCCTTCTTTTCTTCTCCTCTTTCTGAATTCAAGGTGCTGGGGATCCAACCCAAGGCCTCACTCACGCTAGGCAAGCACTTTACCACTGAGCCACCGCCCCAGCCCTCAGCTCACCAGTCCTTGCATGGCCTTCGAGTCCAGCCCTTGAAGTCGTCATCTTTCCTAAACACACTCGATGACCATGTTCCGCTCATGGTTCTCAGGTCACCTGCTGCCGAGGCCTCCAATTTTATACCCCAACCCAGACCTCTCTCTCAAGCTCTGCAGGGCTTTGTCAATGTCACCATTTAGACATCCAAGGGACAGCTAAACTTCCCATGCCCAGAGTGACCGTCCAATCCCTTTCCCACCGCATCAGTGACAGTTCCACCTTGGTTAAGTCAGGCCAAAACCCTTGGAGTTGTCCCTGATTCTTCCCCTCACACCTCACAATCGATCCATCTGAAAACCCCTGTTGGGTCTAGATTCAAAGTCTATTTGAAATGTGGCTCCTCCTCACTCCTTGCCACTTACACATAAGCCTCATCATTTCCTGCCTAGAGTCCATCACCAACTAACTTGCCTGTATTATCACAATGGCTTCTCAATTGGCATCTCTATTTCTGCCTTTGCCTCCTTAGGATTTGTTCTCAAAATAGGAGCCAAAAAGAGCCCATTAAAAAATATAAGTCAGATCCCCTCTCCAGTTTCAAACAAAAAAACCCTGCAGTCTTTTCATCTCAGTCAGACTGCAAGCCAAGATCCTTAGATCTTGCAAGGTTCTATACAAACCAACCTCTACCATCCCCCCTTTAATCAAATAACAACACCTTTTATGACTTCCCTTTTGCCACTATGCTCCAGCCATACTGGTATTTTAGCTTCTAGAACATGCCAGGCACTCAGCCTCGGGGCCTTTGCACATGCAGTTCAGGATACTTCCACCCCTTATTCACATAGCTTTCTCCTTCCCCTTCCTTCAGGTTCAAATCAAAAGTCAATTTCTCAGTGAGGCCTTTTCAGACCACATTATCAAAAAATTCAACCGTCTGCCCACTCCAATCCCCAAACTGTACACCCTGCTTTCCTATTTTGTTCCTCCCTACCCTTGCCACCATATGACACACTGTATATTTACTTATCTAATGTATTCTCTCCCCTACAGGAATGCAAACTCCCTGCAGGCAGATACTTCTGTCTGGAAAATTCACTGCTGTGTCCCAGCACCTAGAACCTGGCATACGGAAGGGGCCCAAGAAACTCACATAAGGGATGGAGAAGGGAAAAGAGAAAATGAAAGAATAAAAAAAAAAGAATATCTTCTGAAGGACTGTAGTAGAAAGCTCTTAAAGACTGCAGAATCCCTCCTCCAAAGACAACCAAGGTTTCCTTATCTCACTCCAAGCAGCGAGACCCAGATTTGAGCTCTTGCCCCTTGACCCTGGGTTATTAACCTCCCTAGGCCTCAGTTTCCCAATTGTGAGTGACAGAAAAAGTGGTGAAGTATCTGAAGGAAATTTCCAGCTACACAGATCCCTGACCAGGACAGTCCTGGGAGACAACAGAAACCAGTGAGGAAAAACATGACTATTAGAGAAGGTTCTTGGCGTCTTCTAAATCAGTTTTTCTTAGTAGACAAGAACACAAGGACGTGTTTAACTTACCAGCTTCTAAAGAAATCAGTAGAACTGTGAGACAAACAGTTCTGAGTATCACTTTCATATTCTCCTGGAAAAATGGAAGAATGGAAAAAAAAAAAGACAAAAAACATTACTATTCCAGCAAGTCTCTAAATGCACTGATGCCCCACCTGTCCCTGGCCCCAATCCCACCAATGGATATGTTCCTACGTCACTGATGCTACCATGTTGGGCTGCTCTGGGAGCAAACTTGACACTTTAATATTTAAAATATTTCCATCATCTGCCCCAGTAGACATTTCTAGTCTTGTATCCCCCTTGTCTTCACCCCCAGATCTAATCTATATCAAAGTGGACTACAATCAGCTCTCCATATCCACAGGCTCCACATCTGCAGATCTAAAATACTTAGGGGAAAAAAAGTGCATCTGTACTGAACACTTACAGACTTTTTCCCTTGTTATTATTCCCTTAACAATACAGTAGAGTAACTATTTACGTGGCATTTACATTGCATTAAGTGTTATAAGTAATCTAGAGATTTTTTTGAACATATGGGAGGATGTGCATAGGTCATATGGAAATATCACACCGTTTTATTAAAAAGATGTGAATATGTAAGTATTTTGATGGCGGGGAGTGTTCTGGAACCAAGACCTCTTCCAGGTTGCTTCCACTTGTAAAGGTCCATTCCCCACCTGGAATATATCCCTCCGCCAAGACCCACTTGCAAAAGTCTTTCCATAATTCTACGTGAGTACAAAGGTCATGCCTTGCTGTCATAATGCAAGAGATCAAATTGTTTCTTCAATATAACATAATGCAGAACAGCACTGAAAAGACTAATAATATATTAAGATTAGGTTGGTTCTTGTGGTTGGATTTCTTCTTCTCTGGGACTTTTTATACTTTCCAAAAAATGTATAAATGAGCTTATACAAATGTTTTCACAAAAGTGAAAAGAAAAAAAAAAAACAGCCCATCCACACCAACACAGCATGAGCTACAACAGATTCTGGTCAGCAGTTGGGCTACACAATAAACTGAGATTCTGGTCATTTATTATTAATGGCAAAAGACTTTGTCCACTTCCATGGAGGGAAGTGTAACGCAAGATTAAGTGCTTGCCTAAGATAGCAAGTCAGGAAGGAGAACACACTCATTGCAGAACAGTCACTAAAATAATATCAAGTGAATTTGAAAGAGAAAAACAAACATTTCCCACTTGCCTACCCTTTTAACCCTCCCAAGCCCAAAATAATGCCTCTTTTTCTCTCTGAATGTTCCTATTTAACACTCCTGAACAGTGACCTTATGGTGACATGCAGTAAGTTCCAGGCTTGTATGTCCAGCTAGCTTTTGCACAAATCCTCTCAGGGCCCATGAGTACCTCAAACTCAACAGGCTCCCCAAATGAAACTCATTCTTGTCCCAGCAAAAGTTCCGTCCCCAGTGCTCCCCTAACAGGCACACCATAGCTCCAAACCTACGTGGGTGTGCACCCAAATGAGACCAAGGATCAGTGAACCTGAGGCTGCCACCACTCCACCCACCCTCTCCCCAAGCCTAACCATTCTGTCTCTGCAGATCACCAAGCCCACCCAGGAGGTCACTCATGACCATTGCTGGTGGCACAGTAGCTCAAGCAATCTCCAGTCCTCGTCTGGAGTCATTAGGGCAACAGGCTTCAAATCTATCTCTCTGCCTAGGGACTGACATCTGCCAATCAATCCAGAAAGCCCACCAACTATCGGTCACCAAATGATCTGTTCAAAACACCTTCACTGGCTCTCGGGTGTGCCCAGAAGGCCACGCCCCCTAGCAAAGCACAGGGGTGCTTCATGCCAGGCTCTGACTTAGGTCTCCACACACCCCATACCCCCTGGAAACATTGAGGACTTCAGTCGTGGCCTCGCCAAGTGCGCCAGCCTCTTAGCCTTTGCCACCACTGTTCCCTCTGTCCCTGTCTTGGCCCCTTCCCACTCCATCAGCCTCCCACACCCCAGAAGGCTACTGAGTTTGAGCTTCTCATGGGTCCTTCAGTGGACCTGAGCCTGGCTTCCTCCTCTGGGTCACCCCAGCAACTCCTGCATCTGTCATGGCTCTCAGCACTTTCCTGCAGTTATCCTGGCAAGGAAAACCCATGTGGGCAGGAGCCAAGGCCTGCTCATCTCTGCCCGCTCAGCATCTAGCACTGTGCTTGAAACCCCGTCACCCCTAATAATGTCTCACGGAATGAACAACAAAAACAAACAAACAAAAAACCCATACAAAATAAATAGCTATCCCCTCCATTAGATTCAGAGGAGACCACGTAGTTCTATGCTTTGAAAAATAACAAAAAAGTCTGCCTCTTTTTTTTTTTTAACAGTACTAGGGACTGAATCCTGGGGTGCTTCACCACTAAACTACAATCCCAGCCCTTTTCATTCATTCATTCATTTTTATTTTGAGGCAGGCTCTTGCTAAATTGCCAAGACTGACCTTGAACATGCAATCCTCCTGCCTTGGCCTCCTAAGTCAGTCATGGAATTATAGACCTGTGCTCGGCTCTGGAGACAAAAGGTGCCTATCTTCTTATTTGTAGCTGTAAGTAAGTAAATACACAGGTACAAAATATTTTAAGATGATTCTCCTTCAGACTTAACACAAGCAATCATTGGAATGTTAACTAGAAAGTGTTCTCTTTAAGAAGATCAATTAAAAGTTACAAAAATCCTACAAGATTTTCTAAGCATGCAAGACACACCTATTCAGATTCTCGTCACTTTACTCCCAGTACCAGGATGATGATCCTGAAGTCTGGCTCAAGCCTTGAAAACCAGTCTCAGACTAGTTAAACTGCATTCCTTAAATATCATGTGCTTCTGACACTTTATTCAAGTAAATTGGCCTTATCCCAAATTGGTCTAGATTAATGGTATTATTGCCATATATACTTGAAACTCTATTCAGGTTATGAAATAAGGTAGAAGGTTTTGGAGCCTGGTAGCCTGGCTTTTGACCTTTCTCTGGGACTGTATGGATGTGTGTTTTAAGTCTTTACAGTAGGAATAAAGAGAAGAAAGTTACCAGGAACTGGTAAGTTTCCTGCTTACCAGTTCCGGGCATCACTACCACTCACATTAGTTGATCAATGACAAAATGAGGGCATTATGAAATCATCTGAGCACAGCAGCTGGTGGTTCACTGAGGCACAAGATCAGGCTTGTCTGATTATTAGGCAGGCAGAAGATGCCAAAGTATCTTTTAGAGAGAGCGTGTCTAAGGTATAACTCCAGATTGATCATAGACAAACAACTCTGATGATCATACATCCAAGACCAGTGGTGTCCACCCCTGGGCAGTGTGATCTTGGACATGACTCCTTCCTGGACCTCACTTTCCTCATCTGGCACAGGTGGGCACTGAGGCAGATGACATCAGTCATTCCCTACTCAAACAGTCTATAAAATAGGAGTTCCAGGCTTGACTTCTGCCCCCAAACTGGAATAAAGAAAGAGGTGGGAGTAACCCCCTTCCCCTCACCAGGAGCCGTCCAGAATCCACATCAGTCCCTAGGACCCAGGGGTCAACGGGTCAGCACTGAGCCTAGAGATGGGCAGTAAAGGTCACATGACCAAGGGGAGTGAGAGCATCAGAGAGGCACTCATCCAGATGTGTTCCCAATAAAAGTCAACACAAGCCCCACGTGGTGGAACATGCCTGTAATCCCGGCATCTCGGGAGGCTGAGGCAGGAGGATCGTGAGTTCAAAGCCAGCCTCAGCAAAAGAGAGGCGCTTAGCAATTCAGTGAAACCATCCCTCTAAATAAAATACAAAATAGGGCTGGGGATGTGGCTCAGTGGTCGAGTAGCACTGAGTTCAATCCCTGGTAATACCCCCCCAAAAAAAAAATCAACACAAACCCCATGATACCCTCAGCAACATAGAAATTCCAAGGTAGAGCTGACATGAACTGGCTTCCTAGTGCCAGTAGTTGAGAGGCTGTTTAAGCCCGGGAGCCCCAAACACAAAGGGCACCGTGGATAGAAGTTCAGCCTCCATGCCTCAGTGCCCCCAAGTGACAAAGTGAGGCTGATGACAGTATTTGTCATTGATGGTTGCTATGAGGATGACATGAATCGCCACACTGAAAGGGCTCAGAACAAACAGTATCCGTCAAGGTCCCTCTGACGTTAGTTATTCTGAATCGCATGGCCAGGCAGAAGACAAAGGCAAGTGTTGGGGAAATGTTGTTGGTTATCCATTCATTTCTCTATTTAGTTGTTGCCCCACTGAGCAATTATATCACGGCTATCTTCATGCCTGGGTCCACATGGGATGGTGCCAAGAGGTGCAACTGGAGTGTCCCAAAGTGCCCCAACATGAAGGGTGTGCCGAGGAGCTGGACTGTCGTCATTTGAAGATGGCAGAAAATCACTTCATGATTTTATATGGTGCAGTGGCCTGTGGCTAGGTTTTCTTTTTGGAAATCTTGGCACCTGGGTGGAACATAATCTAGTGACAAGAGTGGGGACAGGCTACCATGAAGGTCCAGATGAGAGATGAGAGGGCAGGCCATCCAGCAGGGCAAGATGTGTGCCTGGGGACAAGGGTGGGGATGGCAGGCTGACTGGGGGCCAAGGAGGGCTGCCCAGGTTAGGAGGACAGGCTCAGGGACCCACAGACAGCTCAGAGGAGATCAGAGGGTGTCACTGGTGCTAACCAGGCCTAGATCTCCTGGGACAAGGCCAGCAGTGTTGTCTCTAGCCAAAATCAAAACTTCAAACATAGCCAGGTGTGGGGGCACCCACCTTAATCCCAGTTACTCAGAAGGCTGAGGCAGGAGGAATCCAAGTTCAAGGCCAACCTGGGTAACTTAGTGAGACTCTGCCTCAAAATGAAAATTTTTAATGTCTAGGGATGTAGCTCAGCAATAGAGCACTTGCCTAATCCACATGAGCACCTGAGTCTATCCCCAGTCCTGCGAAGAAGAAGGAGGAGGAAGGAAGGAAGAAAGAAAGAAGGAAGGAAGGAGAATTTGGGTGTAAAGAGAAAGAAAAGTGAAAAATGGACAGGAAGGCCTGGAATGTGCTAGAATTGAGGAGAGCTCTGTTCCCACATTGGGAATCATCATTTTAGAGTTCACAGCTGCAGTGGGGCTTGGTTGACCAGAAAACGTGAGTGGGCAGTGGCTCTCAACTGAGTCATAGAGTCCTTCAAATATCTGATACAATCTTCCTCTTACCTCCCCTGTCCCTTCCCTTCCTGTCTCTCGTGATCACTGTCTTGCTCTTTCTTCTCTGAAATCAACTCTTTCAGCTTCTATACATGAGTGAGATCATGCAGTGTGTGTCTTTCTGTACCCAGCTGTTTTCACTTAATTTCATCACCTCCAGGCCCACCCAAATGATAGGACCTCCTAAATATATACAAACATTCAAATGCCAGTTACAAAGTGAAACTAAATCTGATAGCACCACAGAGCTTCTTCCAAAGAAAAGTGGGCCAAGAAATATAAAATATGTTTGCTTAGAGTACAAGTCATGTCAGGGTCCCCTGGAGCTAAGGGTGGAGGGCTTCAATAATTTATGAGAAAAAGCAGGGGGATCCTGAGGTGACCCAGCCTTGTTACCTTGGAGAAGGCCTTTTCCTGTGGGAAGTGATCCGGCTTCTCAGGAGGGAGTCACCATCTTTAGGGGACGTGTCTACCTGGGGAAGAAAGAGGACAGGAGTGAAGTTTGAATCTAGAGGCCTGATGGACCCACAGCTGCAGCCAGGACCCCAACAGAGGTGGGAAAGGCTCCTGTGCCCACAAAAACGAGCTGAATGTTTAAAAGATCTGTGTCCCACAGCCCTGAGGACAGAACCCTTTTAGGAAATGCAGTCACAGGTGTGGGGAACACAGAGGGTCTTACAACCCCAAACTATTTTTGATGAGACACACGCACTTTGCCAGACATGGATGCAGAAATGAATCAAATGTCCTCTGCGGGTGTCAGAGCTCACTACCAGGCCTCAGGCCTTGCCAGAGGCCAGAGAAAATGAACAGCCCCTTTTGAGACCAGCACGCTCATTTTCCAAGTCCTTGATCTTCCTTATATCAAGTGTATCAGTAGACCTGCACCCCATATTGCATAATTTAAAATAACTTCATAAAAGCTGATTTAGATTGCCCTGCCGTTCGGTCCTATAGATTACCTCACCATCATTCCCTTGTTTTTCTTTTAATATTTTGTAGACTGATTTTTTTTTTCATGTCTGAGTCATTTCCTTGGGCCCATAACAAACTTTTGAGGCCACATAGACCTTTTAATATCCATCCAAAAAGCAGCCTGACAAATTCAATGCTAAGCACTTTGCTTAGACTAGACGCACTAAATCCCAACCTGTTACCCTTCAGAGACAGTATGTACATCACATTAAGCCATCAGAACCTCAGTGGCTCATCAGCATGAATCCTATCACAGGGAAGACTCCCTGAAATTCCTGTTCCCAGCCCTAGGACAGAGCCTTCCCATCTCCAGGTGGTGCCCCAGACACCTCTGCAGCTGAGGGAATTATACAGAAAAGTCACAAGGGAATTAAAGATTGGGGGAGAAGAGAAGGTTGATGAGGGATGAATTTATTTGGCAGGTTCAAGAAAACTCGTACAGAGAGGCTGACTCCCCACATTCCAAACCTGCTTCACTTTTCTTCTTCGTTTTGGACCCAGAAACTTCCTTTAAGAATTTTTATACTCACTATCGCCACTGCTTACCCACTGCTGAGCCATCCACACCCGCCCTCCATGTTTATTACTCCTCTGAAATGCACTGCCCAAACCTCCAGCCTTCCCAGTTTCTCCATGCAAAGGACCCTAGGACAGAGCCTTCCCCGTCTCCAGGTGGTGCCCTAGACACCTCTCTGCAGCGGAGGGAATTATACAGAAATTGAGTTTCCATCTAACTGGATATCCCTGTGCATATGACCCACTCCCAGCCTCCATCCTCTTGATCCTGGGATGAGGTCAACACCCTGCCCCACCCACTCTCCTATGGTCATCTTCCAGCTTGTTCTGTTCCTTTTCAGCTCTGGTCCTAGCTCTGGTCCTAGCCCTGTCACAGTGCCCTCTAGGATGTCTCCATTCAGTTCTCCTCGTCCAGTCCAGAGGCATCTGGGACTTCCGAACGACTCAAAGCTGATTCTAAGAAGCAAACAAAGCTCTGGGAGGAGGGTCCCATCACACTCGCATCTGGTAGGAGCTCAGTAAACACTTATGGAAGAAAGGAAGGAGGGAAGGAAGTAAGCCACCCCACCCACCCGCCATCTTTGTATGAGACACATAGGGACGGAAACCTGGCCTAGAGTCAAGGAAAGCAAGGAAAGAAAATGGGTACTGAGTATGGGTTGGAGAATGGAAATGGCACTGGGGCCACTAGGGTCTAGAGATAGACCAGAAATCTCACAGGAAAAGGTAGAATTCTTCTTAAGGAGTGAGATAAAGGGCTCATGCCCAGACGACTGGCAAAAGAATTGGTGATGAGAACAACTCTGAGCTGGAGACCATGAACTAACTCTTTCTTTTGTTCATGGGGGATTGAACTCAGGGGCACTTTACCACTGAGCTACATCCCCAGTCTTTCTTATTTTTCTTAATTTGAAAGAGGGTCTCACCGAGTTGCTTATGACCTCACTCAATTGCTAAGGTTGGCCTCGAATTTTGGATCCACTAGCCTCAGCTTCTTGAGTCACTGGGATTACAGACATGTGCCACCATGCCCAGCTGGAAAACTGTTATTAGCCAAAGAAACACTGGGTAAACAAGACCTCCCTTATTTAGGGGCAACTGATCCATATCCATTGTAAAAGTGGTTTATGGTAAATGCAAAATGCATCTTCAGAAAACACCAGCAATAAATACAAAGTCACAGATTTAGTCTACTGTGTTATTTTTCAAATTGAATTTACCACACAAAATAAAATAACCAAGGACAGGAAAGAGATTCAGTCACCCAATGAATGAATACACCATAATATCCGGTGCCTCATTTCTACCTTGGTACAAGGTCTGAGGCTAGATGACATGACTAGACTGGAGACTAACCTCTGCATAGCAGCTTTTAGCGAGGTCGGGGGAGGGGGACACCAAGACACTGATGGCCAGCCCCCTGGGGCCTTAGGTAACCAGAAGCCCACAGCTAGTCACTTTCTCCCCCAAGCAGCCTTGTTGGTTCACTGAAGTGTACCCAGATTTGTTTGGCAATCACACACAAGAAAGCCAACAGTCACGAAGTGCCAACTATGGTTCCCATTGCTCTTTGCTGACTATACCACATCTGGGAACATCAGTGTATCACATGATGCAGTGGCACATGGTACATACAAAGCTATTGGGCATTAAAGAGAAAATACACATTTGAGGCATAAAGCAATTTCCTCCCTGCTATGGTTCCAAGACGGTTTGTCCCCTCTGAAACTCATGTTGAAATTTGATCGCCACTGTGGCAATATTGAGGGACGATCCTTTAAAAGATGTTAAGAGATCAATGCTGCTGTCATAAGACTGGGTTAATTTCCACAGGAGTAAGTAAAGTCCTCTTTCTCCTGGATTAGCTGCCCTGAGAGCAGGTTATTATAAAGCCAGGTCCTCCCCCATGTCTTCTTATCCCCTCTACATGCAGTCTCCTGAATTTCCCCTTCTCTGCTGTTACGAGGCATTATAAGGCCCTCACCAGATGCAGCCGCCTGATCTTGGACTTCCAGCCTCCAGAACTGTAAGTTAAATAAATTTCTAATGTTTATAAACTGCCCAGTCTCAGGGACTCTGTTATAGCAACTTAAAACAGAACAAGATACTACTAGCTTCAGGATGAGAAACTTGAAACATGAAAGCATACAAAACTAGAAATTAAGTATAAGAATTAAAAATGAACAACATATTGGGCCTCCCCCAAAACTTCCCTTCCAGGAAGAACTGACTCCATCCAACACTTTCTGTCCCTCTGCAAAAAACTCCTTCCCCAGTGTAGGCACAGAAAAAGTGACAAGTGGGGACAGAGGAGCTGTCACAAGACCCCAAGCCTGTTTCTTTCATGGGCATAGGGCCCAGTGTAGGGGGAAGGGGCATTTTTCCCAAGTTTGTGTTGGTGGCCACATTGTATCTGTTAAACACCTTCTTATTCCTGAGGAATTTCTCATGCTCTTGAGGAATTCCTTTCTTATTCCGGAGGAATTCCCCCACATTGTGAGTCTGCCTTCTAGAACAGAAGTCAGGCACCAGTGAGGTGCTACACATCAGACACACCATAGATGATGTGAAGCCATGTGGAGGGTGATGTCAGACATGCTGAGGGTACACAAAGCATGGGTCCCCTGCGGGGAACCTGGCACAGAGGCACCCAGTGCTCCATGTCCAAGCACTGGCTGGGCTCATGCTGTATCGAGCTACTTCCTCTCCTTCCTTCTTTCCCTCTCGTGAGGGGCCCTGAGCATGCACACAAGTAGACATGCCAGTCTGCACGTCTGAGTCCTTTCTCCACACAGCCCTGCTTAGCCACTCTGCAAATCAGTCCGATACATTGCCAGTGGAGTTCATGGAGATTACCTGGAAAGAGACCTGTATAGCTCTGGAACTGGAATCCAGGTTGTTTGAGGAGAGAATTTCAGGGGTCACAGCTACTTGAAGCTCGGTCAAGAGGGTTGCGGGTGGGTCCAGATTCCCAGTAAGCACATCTTGTCCTATTAGGCTCTTCACCATGCCAAGGGACATACTTGTTGAGTTGCATAGCAGAGCCTTCCCAAATACAGGGCCTACCTCTAATTTAAATCTCAACATAAACCCAGGAAGAGTGAGTAGACAGCAAGAGGTAACTTTCTCCTCCCCAGGATCTGAAGTAGGCAATCCCCAAATATGAAATTTATAAGAAAATCTTAACCATACTTAGTCCATTTTCTGAGACAACAACTGAATATCTGAAACTGAGTAATTCATAATGAACATAAATTTATTTGGCTCATGGTTCAGGAGGCTGAGAAGAACGAGTAAGAGCATGGTGCCAGCATTTACTAGGGAACTTTGTGCTATGTCATCCCATGGTAGAAGGTGGAAAGGCAAGAGGGTAGGAGTGAGCAAGCAAGCAGGAGAGAGCTAAACTCATTTTCATAACAAATCCTCTCCTGCAATAGTGAACTCACTTCCCGGATAATGACATTATCATTCCTGAGAGCAGAGCCCTGGGACCTAATCCTTCCCCTTAGGCTCCACCTCCCAACACTGTTGCATTATGCATTAAGTTTCCAACAGGTGAACTTTAGGGACACATTGAAACATAGCACAAACTTTCCACATTGCCACCTCATTCCAGTGTACACTTCTACCTTTCCATAAATATATATTCAGCATCATTTAATACAACCTCTCAATCCAAACATTAATGGTATGTATAGACTTGGTGTAGTGGAGAAATATTCAAGGAATGAGGTTGCAACTAATTTGGCCATACCTCAGAAGTGACTGAGAGTGAGTCATATTCTTTAGCTTATGAAATGTCATAAGCTACATGTTCTATTGAAAGTCACTGGAAATGCAAGGGAATGAATTATTGTTCTAAAACTAAATCCATAACTATGACATTTTACTGTTACACATTTGTTTTGGATTCATATTCAACAGTCTTCAACATTGAGACCAAAAATGTTCATTTGAAAGATAGAGCTAAAAGGAACATACA